GCGCAAGGTCGGGAGGGAGGGCGAGGGGGAGGGTGGGGGTCAGGGCAGGCTCACGGAGGCATTGGTGGCGGAGGTACAGAGGGCTGTGGCCGAGAGGCTGAGGCAAGAGAGGGAGGAGGAAACAGAGAGAAGCCTGGGAGTGGACTATGCGGCCCGCTACAATCGTGCGCAGGTGGTGCGGGGGTGGGCTTACACCACGCCACCGTTTTTGGCGCGAGAACCAACAAACGAGGAGGAGGAGGAGGAGGAGGAGGAGGAGGAAGAGAGGAAAAAGAGAAGGGAGGAGGGCACTCGGTTGCTCTTGAATTTTCCTCCCGAGATGGCGATCAGCTCGTCCATGCTCTGGGGACACTGCTATGCCCTGCCCGTCCTCCCTCGCTCCCACCCCCCCGCCCTCACCATTCGTCTGGGGTCGCCCTTGAAGCGCGTGACCGCCTTGAGCCTCAGCCACTACCCTCACCTCGACCATCCGCTTCCTGAAGAGGGAGGGGGGCGGGGACAGGGGGGAGAGGAGAGGACGATCAAAGGTGTGGCCCCGCGGGAGGTGGTGTTGTGGGGATTGCCCAAAGTCAGAAGCAGGGTGAGGGGGGGAGCGGGGGGCTGGGAATGGTTAGGAAATTTCACCTTTACTGTGGCGGCGCCGTTTCAGACGACTCAAATTTTTCCAATTGAAGCAAGGAAAGGGGGAGAGGAAGAAGGGGAGGGAGGGGTGGGAGGGGAAAGGTCCTTTGAGGGGGTGCGATTAGAAGTGCTTTCGAACCAGGGTCACCCGGACTACACGTGTTTGTACCGCGTGGGAGTGTATGGGGAGGGAGTGGAGGGAGGGAGGGAGGAAGGGAGGGTGGCAGGGCGGTTGAGGAGGGTGTTGACGGAGTGGTTCGAGATGGGGAAGGACATGATAACGGACGTCAAGGAATGGGTTGATGGGGTCATCGAGGAGGCGAGGGAGAGGGAACGATGGGCGGCAGAAGGGGAGGAGGACGGAGAGGGGGAGGAAGAGGAGGGGCCGGACGGAAACGTTGGCGTTGAGACGTTAAATGGATCACTTTGAAGGAAGAAGGGGGAAGAATTTAACATAATAATAGGATACAATTTGCGTAATTAGAGAAACAAAGGCCGCCTTTCTCATTGTTTGTGCATCCGGTAGAGAAGCAGGAGGGTTTACAGTCACGGGGTGACGAACAATGTGAGAAGTGTGCTAGGAGAGTATTGGGAATACACATGACCACAATAAAGCACCACGCCTAGGTGAAAGAGGACACAGGAAAAGGGCCCGGAGGCCGCGCATGCATTTAGTCTGGACGGTCTCGCATTGGTGGCCCCGATCGACAGCAAATTAACGACTCGATGCATACTGAGGCGAAAACCTGCCGACGGCGTTGCTTTTTGGTTTCTTTTCCATTCTTTTCCACATGTCTGAGAGGGTGGAGCCATCATAGGAAAGGCAGGGGACAGGAGGGAAGGACTGAGGTCACACGGAAATAGGGCGAATAGCGAGAATACCCACAGTCATACCCCACTTCCAGCCACCTCATCCTCCCGCGTCTCTCCCATGTATTCATTCTCGTCCGCCCAAGCACCCTGCCCGTGGTCGGCCCCTCACCCACTTGCTAGAGAGAGTATATATACATAGCATGGCTCCCTGCAACTCCCCGTCCAACCCCCCATTCTTGAGGGACAGCTCCTCCCCCCCCTGGCCGTTCAAAGAGCATCCTCGCCTACTCAAGGGAAACTCAAAGAGGCAGGAGAATGCGCGTCGTTTCCTACGTCCAAGAAGAAAGGGCAACGAAAGGGAGCTCTAAGGAAGACTACCAATTGATGTCGGGGAAGCGCATGGCCCACGCCGCCACCAGGTAAGAATGGTAGTCCGGGTGGGTGATAGCCAGGGCCTGGGAGTCCTCCAAGAAGCAGACCAGGACGGCCGCCACAGCAGCGGAAACCACGTTCATCATCACGTCCGTCACGAAAAACCCCACCTGCAGGATGAAAAGAAGGGAGAGGGGGAGGGTGGGGCGGGGGCGATGGCCAAGATTGCGCTCGTGGAAAGAGGATGGCAAGTCAGGATGGTGGGGGTTGCAAGAACCAGACATGGGGAACAGGCGAGGTGGACTGAGGGTACATGGTAGCGACGACGACAACTCGGATACGATGATGCACGCCAAAGACTTGGGAGAGGCAACAGAGAGCCAGGGGACGTACCACAAAGCCCGCTCCTCCCAGCAAGGAAGGGGCGTTCTCGACGTCTTTCAGGTAGGAATGCTGCAGGATAAAGGCAAGGAGGACCCCCAACCCGCAGGTCACGAGCCCCACCATCAAGGCTCCTAGGAAGAGGACACGGCCGACCAAGTTGTCGTTGAGAAGGGCCGTGAGTCCCCGCCGGACGAAGAGGTTGTATACCTAG